ACAACAATCTATTTAGGATTAAAGCTAATATTTTTAAAGAGTTTATTTATTGATTATTAATTTAAAGTAAAAGTGTTTGTAAGGTTAAATGTCATTATTTTAATTTCTTTCTTTTTTTAAATTAGAATTATAATACTATTATAAGTTAATAAAAATTCTGATATTTCACTTTCACAAATATAATTTGAATAACTAATTATACTTTGGCTATCATCAAAGTATTAAAACAAATTGATTTTATCATAAGCACTAACTCCAATTGTAAGAATTAGAGGATAAATGCTCTAAGCGACTTATAAAGAACTTGCTTTTACAGAGATATTTATTGAACTTAATATATTACATTGGATGTATTGAGTGAATTAACATGACTAAATATCAATTAATTAATTATTATATCCAATTAAATATTATTCTTGTACTAAATAATAATTTATTGCTAACGATTGTACTAATTAATAAACCTAAGTAATTTTGCCAAAATTATAAAATGTTTATTAGGTTAAATTAAATAGGCTTCATTTTTGCTTAAATTATAATTTAGTAATTATCCTGAATAGCCATAAAATGAAAGTGATTAAGAAGCATTGAATTAAAATATAGAATTTTCGAACCCATAATTAGACATTATAGTAAAAAATAGTTTGTAATTCTTACATAAATATTTGTGTCATTTTTCAAAAGAATTTTAAAATCAATATTAACCAGACTTAATTATGGAGGCATAAATTAATCCACACATATTAAAGTAAAGTTGTATTATTACTGATATGAAGTTTCTGGCTTAGTCAAGTTGATAGATGGTAGTGAAATTTAATAAACAAAAATATTCTAATTAAATTAAAATAAAATTAATAATTTTTTTTGACTTATAACTCATTATCGTCATTGAAATAAAATAGTGAATTGTTTTAATTAATATGATAGAAGAAAAACCTATCTCCTTCTGACTTTTACATAATAACCCTTACATTAGTTGATATATATATCATAAATTAGGTATTTTAAAGTATCTTCTGAATAGATTGACAAGAATTAACTGGACAAAAATCCATAACTTTGATTATTTACCCTTCACATCCCAAAAATTGAGCTATCTTGTAATCCGATAAATTAGAATACTTTTGGATATATAACAACTTTATTTGATCGCACTAGGAGTAACTCAAAAAATTATAAAAAGCATTAATAATAGTAAAATTGTTCATACCTGTTGAGGTAAATCTATATTTGTTATTAAATGTAGAATCTGAAGATATGGATAATTAGAATATCTCTTAATTAGTTATTGCATAAATATTTGGACTTATTGTAATTGGAATATCAAAATCAGCAAATTAGTATTGATTTAAACTACCTAAGTTTTAAAATAATTATGAATAGCGAAAGTATTGAATATTTCTCAAAATATTGGGCATATACTAGAAAAGGATTTGTTCCATTAACAATTGTTTAAATTTTAGTTGAAGTAGGTATGGAAGATTATTTTTAATAAGCAATTTGTTACTATTTATCTATTAATTGAATCAATAAGAATTCATTGTTCGAATAACAATCTATCAAAATTGAAAAATATTAAGACAAATTGATGTTAAAGCAATTAAATGAAGAATTAATTGTCACATTTGAACCAACTTATTGAATATTTTAATTCTTCCATTCATACATTCTTCCTGTATTTTTATTTGACAATGTAAAAAAATGCGTATTATTTGATGACATTGAAATAAATTCTATAATTATATTTTTAATATTTTACAATCTCCTTTTGTTATAGATATTTCTTCAGATTAATTTATTATTTATACATTTGGAACTTAATGATCAATTTTGCACATTAATTAAGAAGATGGTAGAAATCCTTCCAGATAGTTTTAATAAAGTTCTTCTTCGGTTGGGTATAATGAAAATTATAGCTATGATATTGTTTAAGCACTAATGTTGATTACATAGATTAATAAGAAAATCATCTGATTTTCCAAATTTAATATGAATTTTTTAATATTATTATGAAATACTCTAAACAATTTCAAATATTATAAGGAATTTATATAGTGAGTTAGACTGATTAAAGAGAACATCTGTGTCAATGAAATTAAATCGATTAAGAGAGGGATAGTTATAAAAGAATGAATTAAATTGGATAAGTGATATTTTTATAGTGATTAAAATTTATTTGATAAAGGAATATAGTGATTAAAATTTTGAAATGCTAATTGTTGAGGTCTTTGTTCTAACTTCAATTTTTAATACAAAATATAGACTATAATTTGATATTATAAACAGTATGACCTATGACCGAATAAATACAAAACTAACTAGATCATCTATTGTATATGAAATACAGAAAATAAAGATTAAAGTAAATTATTTGAACTCACATTTGATTTATGAATACAAAATCATTCTAAACAAGAATTATATTAGTTGGTAGGCTTAATCAATATTTAAACCAAAATCTAACTTAATTAAAAAATTTATCCAGAAGATAAGATACTACTATTCATTTTTGTGATTTATTAGAGATATTAAGATAACTAAAATCATGAAGTTATGTTTGGTAAATTTTATGTTAGTTTTCTTTATGCGAATCTAAATGTAATTTTAGTGTTACTAGATTTTAATAAGTTGTATAATTTTCAATGTATAATAATATCACACATTAAAACTTATTTAAATATCGCTTGGCCAAATTTGATGATCTTTCAACTGAAATTCTGTAGTGCTTGACTAATTCTCCCATAAACGATTTTCTCATGCTACAATACAATAGTAATTAAAAATAAATCTTATTGATAACATCTAATATACTTACACTCTTTTCATTATAATAAATTATTGCCCTTCGGATGTCGATAACAATAACTAAAAATTCTAATATTGTAGGTATAATTTTTTATTTTTTTATTGAATATATTATCCATCCATTTGTTATTTTTGGATTATTGCTACAAATGGATTATGTATTTATACTTATTCTATATCGGAAAGGGATTAGAGTTATTAGTGAATCCATGAGATATTTTTTATCTAATCTCATGTCACTTATAACTTTGTAGTGGATGAAAGCATATAGTGAATCCATATTTATATTTTGATTTTTAATTACAATACATATTGAATTAAATATCATAATACAAAAATTAAATAGTATGCTTCCATTCTTTCAATAATATATTTTAAATAAATATATAATCAATAAAATATTGGATATCTTAACATATTCTAATGGAAAAACTTAGAAAGTATCTAAAGATCTAATTTTATTCCTATAAAAATTCCCAGTTTCACTAAATAATTAGTTTTACAATTATTCGGGTGGAGAAAGTCAATCTCATTATCCTAATGTATTAGTGTTATTAATAGTAATCCCTAAGCAATTGTAAATATAAAATCAAATAAAATTGCATTTATATCAAACTTATAATTTTTTGATCCAGTTTTTTTTTTTGCTTATCCATTTTCATTTTAGGGTAAATGTTAAGTTTTAAGCATTTTTCTTCTTTTAATAATAACTAATTTTAGTTATTGCAATTATACCTTAATGATTATGTTAATTATGCCTTATTTCTAGAAATTCTCAATTAATCAAACTCTACTTTATTTCACCTAATGCTTAAATTCAAGAATATTTCATTTATTCAAAATATTTTAGCTATGAAAAGCATTTTTATTTAATGACACATAGAAGAGAAAATCTATTGGATCAAGTTTTTTAATTATGAGATCTTTCAACCCTATTAGACACCATTTTTTATTGAAAATTTAATATTTAATTTAATGATAATTGCAATATAAACTACATTGTAAATGTTTATGGCACTCGATCTAATTTAGTAATAATAATTTTTTTAATAACCATTTTTTACAATAATAAATATTTTATGAATAATATTTAATTTATAAATACATTTTTTATTAGACTATTGAATTTTTGTATTTAAATAATTTTAATGGAGAAAATATAACATTCATAAATCAAATATAAATTTGCCAAGGACATATTTCTTGATAAATAATATTTGTTTTATAAAATTCGTTCATTATTAAAGAATAACAAGAGCAAAACAAGATAAATGTACTAGTTGTGGATTAAGTTATTCATTGAACTTTAAACTTTAAAAATTAATGAAAAAGAAAAATTAATTTTAATTCCTGTATTTTCTGCTATTTCAAGTACCTATGCATTAATATTTCTTATAAAGTTTAGAATCTCTTGCAATCACTTTACCAGTTCAAATTATGAAGGATTGGCTGTCCTATTGAGAATTTTTAGCTGATCAAAAGGTCATTCTTAAACCTTATTATAATTACTGGTGTTCTTGCATGAATTGTAGATAATATAGCATCTCACTAAAGTCTTTATTTAAAGTAAGAATCAATCATTAATATTAATATATCTTCTCAAAAAAATTCCTATTTAAAGTTTAATCCTATCTGCAATCCTATCAGATTTGGCCTCTTATTTATACCCTTCTTTTCTTAGTTTATTATTTAAATCCTTCTAATTTTAAGTGTGCTTTTTTTTATCCGACATTAAATAGAGAGTTCCATTTAGATTCAGTTTAAGAAATTAATAATAAAATATTTTGATATTAATTATTTTTATTCATTTTATAATTCATATGTTGAATATCCTTTCTTTTTAGTATCTCAATAGATTAAATATTTTCCATTATTTTTAATATTCCCATAAATTTGGTAACTGTCACAATTCAAATAATCAACTATTTTGAATTTTCCATCATTCATCTTAATGATATAAATATATGTTTTCTGCCTTAACACTATCATATTCTTCTCTTAATCATAAATTAATGATAAACGATATTCATGAGGATTCTAATTTTTAATTAATTAAATTGTCTTCTCCTCATTTTTCTAAAAGACTCCTTCTTTTAACTCAAAAACAAATGTTTATCTATTTCTTTATAACCAGTTACCCAAATAAATTCATTCTCTTTAAAAAGGTTAATCTGTTAACTTCATATATAAATGTAAACTTTCTTTAACTTATTGCTATTTTATTCAAAAATCCATTTTGTACATTCTCTAATATTTGTCCCTATTAAATTTCAACCTCCCTGTTTGTAATTAATAATTAACTTTTAAACATGCACCTATTAATTTAATCATTATTCAATCTACCTTTCTCATTAAGGATTCAACATGCTGACGGTTTATAATTAATGCTTTGTCCAACTAAGTAATTGCATCTTCTCATTTATTTAAGAATCTTAAACATACTCCTATTAATTATTTATAGTTTTTACTTTTACACCACAAAGATGAATAGTTATTGGGATTTAATTATTTTGATTGATCTAATACTTCAATGGCCTAAACATATTTATCTTCTCTATTTTTTATTTTCTTAAATAATAGTATCACATTAGGATACTACTATTAGTTTATTTCAGTAATAGAAGTTGGGCTTCCTTAGATAAAGTCCTTTTTTTAGATTCTAATTTTTATGATATTTAATTTATAAATTTATTAATTATATTTTTATCATGAATTTTAACAAATGATCATTTTAAATAACAAATTATGATACACAGCAATAATTTAATTGATGTTGGCAAAGAGATTTAGTTTCATTCTTATTTAAATCTTTTTTAATTACACTTTCAAATATAATAACAATATATCTTAATAATTAAGAATATCAATTAATTTGTTAATAAAAATGTAAATCTTGCCATAACAATATTGAATAATACAATTAGTTTGAATGATGTAATTAAATATATTTTAAACCAAATCACCATTTTTTAAAATTATAAATTACAATTATTAATGATTTTTTAATTTGAATTTTGGTAAAATAGTTTAGTAGAGACTCTAAGAAATTAATAATAATAATCTAGTGAATTCCTGATTTCAAAATAACTCAATTCAAGTGAAAACTATAATTATTTTGCATCTTTCTAGTTATATTTTTTATACTGTTCATTATTTAATGATAATGTAACATTTATTTTTATAATTTAAATTAACTAATAATTGAACTATTTATTATGAAACTTAAAGATTAATGACTCAAAATAATTGCTATGTTCTTGAAATTTGATGTGGAGTATTATTGAAATATAAGCAAACTGATTAGTAAATTTTTTCCCTTTCAAAACCTTTGAAATAATATTATTAATCAAATTGATATTAAAGAAATCATAATATATATTCCCAGAACAATAAACAAATAAATTGTCATATGCATTTAACATGCAAATGAGGGATCTTAAGCACTTTGGTATGGATAATCATGAGATGATTTTTGCAAACTACATAAGTTTTATTATAAGTATAATATAAATTATGATTTCTCAGCAAAGCAATAAATGTATCAAGTATAATTGAAGGCTTTGAAATAAGGACCTTTGGGTATTAAGCTATTTATTAAGTATTAATTGATGAGAAACCATTAGAAATCTAATGCTGCAAAAAATTAAGGTTTTGGATTCCTTATTGTTGTAAAGATATATTGTAAATTTTCCTCCAGAACTAGAAGTAACTTTTAGAATATCTTATTTATATTTTTTAAGATAAAAAAATTTTTTTAGAACTTCATAATTGCAAAATAACTCAGTTTTTTTAATCATGCTTAAAGATGATTTTAAGTATTTAGTCAACTATTATAATCTTCTTTTTTACTGACAGCTTATTAGTTTTTGGATGATTGAATTAATTATGTTGCTCATCAAAAAAGTCATTTGATAAAATGTTTTTATCTTTTATTTAAGTTACAGCCATGTTGATCATTAACAGTTAAAGGAACCTTGAAACTCTTTACATCTTCGCTTCAAAAAACTATATCGTACTTTAAAATTTCTTTTTAATTTTTATGCCACTCTCTGCTTACATGTAATAAATAAAA